CGTAAGAGATTATAAGTTTTACTTCCAAGTAGCGTAAGGAGCGCGGGAACTTTCTTCTCTGTTTTGATCTCGTTGACTGTAAAATTTTGTTTCAAACGCTCGATGTAGGCACTCCATGTTTCTGTAGCTTCGTCGAATGGTTCTATTCTTCCAATAAAGGCCATTTTTGTTTGTGAAAACCAAGGAAATCTCACATTATTTCAAGAAGAAGTCCTCCGAATTTTTACAATGTGACCATCCTCGTCGCCAGTAATTGTGGTGTATTTGTGCTTTATTATGTACGATCGTCATATATAATTACATGTCAATCAATGCAAATCTAACAATAATAATAATAATAATAATAATAATAATAATGGGATATTCTTGTGTGTCGTATTTGTGATACATTGTCTCAAGGCGCTACATTTATGAACAGTTAAGGCGCTATTAGCAGCCGTGCAGCTCGCAATCATGAGTGTATAATTAGTGGATTAATAATATATAAATTTAGGGAGTGCCTAAAAGCAGAGCTCCCAATAGGCACAGGTAGCCCAATTTAGGTAAAACTCAAAAATTAAAATAAAATCGGGCAAAAAATCTTCAATTATCATTATTTCATTCGAAATAAATATAATGTCCTCCATAATCAAAACCATGCAGTGAAAAAAAATCAAATCAAAATGTATTATATATTTTTCTTCGAACGAGTTTTGTTTTCAACTTTACTACTGTCCTTTGTCACATGTACACGACCCACCACCAGCTACCCCAGGGGCAAGTTTTGTTGAAAAATGGCTGACATTTTTACGCTTTGAATTCCTGGTTAATTTTACTTGAAAAACGAAAGATAACTACAGATAATCCAATACAATATCAGGTTTAGTGAAATTTACCTTGGATGTCTTTCATTAAAATCCAAATTTTGGACATTTCCGAACTTTTTAAGGATAAATCAACGCTATAAAACAGATTTCAAAACTGGCTTTAAAAAGGTGAGATAACGATGTTTAGTTATGATGAAGAGTTTTATGTTTTTCATGCATAGGAACCGTATTTTCACCGCAATGAAAATAAAAAATAAATGCTTTGGTAGCAAAAGAAAGAAAACCAGCTTTAGATTATTAACTTAAGACTTACTAAACAAGCCAAATTTGCGAAGTCCTAAACGAAAAAACCAAATGTGTAAGTTAAAAAATAATAATTTTCTTTTCCTATGTCTTCATTAAACAAATTTTTATTCCTTTCAGGCTTAACTATTTTTCGAGAAGCTTAAAAATTAAGCTTACTAGATTTTGAGATTCGATTTTACCAGTTTTCATCTGTTTTTATGTGAGAAAAAGATATTGAAATCACGAACGACAACAGTAATTTTCGAAATAAAGTTATTATTCAGTTAAACTGATTAACTTACGGAGTACGGAGGTGGAGTAGTAGTCAAGTCATTAAAAAAAAACTCAATGGGTTACCAATTTTTCTTAAGTATGGTGCTGAGGCACGCGTTGAGCTTCGCTATTATGCTTTCAAATTAGGATAGGCTGTTGAATCGGGAGACGAACCCTTAATCTTAGTAGAATAATTCAACATGGTTACTAAAGGCACTACTTTCTCCTCAGTTATTGCAAAATTTGGAGGGATATCGGGACGGGAATAGAGGAAGTAGTAGACTAAATCATGATACGCTGATTTTAAAATTAGATCTTTGTAGTCTCGATATCAGGGAAAGAAAATTTATTTTTATCATAATAACTCTTAGTCTCCCCCACAGCCGCTTTCAGTGTCGTCACGCAACGCTTTTTCCCCTGAGTAGAGGCTGCTTACCCGAGCACAACATTCCTTTCCTATGAATTAACCAATCACGGCTTAGTTCTCGAAAACCAGGAACCATTCGCGCCATATGGAAAGCAACATGCGTCGAAGGCTTCGAGATAGCTGCTAAGAAATTTCGCATCAAACAGTTTAATGATCATCAGAAAGACGCTATACGAAAGATTTTACAAGAAAAACGAGATTTCTTTGAAAATCTGCCTACTGGATATGGGAAATCGCTCAAAGGGATAAAATATTGGCGCTCTAGAGTATAGCCCAGTAATTTCTTTCGAGACAAGTTCGAGGACTTTTTGAATAACAGAAGTTCGAAGTTCTTGGCATTTCATATAAACTGCTAACGCGACGTTAGAAGGTTGGTCATAAGATAACGCTTTAGCTAACGATTCGTGTTCACTTTGCACGACTTTTCTAACAGTGTGAACAAAA